TGGTTGGATGGGTCACTAAATTTGTTTTTCTGAGTTTCTACTTTCCATCCAAATAAACTATAGCATCTGCAGGCCAGCATGCCCATGTAGACTTTTACACAAAGAAAGTATCCTGACCATTTATAAAAGAAAAAAAAAAGTTAGATATTTTGGATGCCGGAATATAGAAATTTATATGTTGCATAACACTTACTCTGTAAATAATGACAGCATTATCGAATTGGAGGGCACCATTCAGGCTATCAAATCCAACCCTTTACTCAGCGCAGATAGATTCACATGTGGATTGAATGGCAAAGGCTTTCAGAACAAGACTTTACCCACCTTTATTGAGATCTGCAACCACTTTGAACATCTAAAAAAAAGCCTGTGCTACCCCTTTAAGAGAATTCTTCTAGCCATTTTTCTAGCCATTTCCATAAAAGCTCACCCTTCGGCAGAAGGATTTCAGCATGGTCTAATTCTGCTCATAGCATTAGTCATCTCATTTCTGATGAAAGCTTTAAAAGGGTGAAGCCTGATTTCCAAATTCACTCCCGTGACTTCACTGAGTGGCATTTTCCAACATTGGCAATGACGTCTTGGGAACCTTACCAGCATACTCATATGTCATTTCAGCCTGATGAACTTGGAAAGCAGAGGAAGAAACAATACCTGTTCTGACAACTGATGCACCATTTAAACAGTGGCAGAAGGATACGTCTGAATTTGTGTGGCAGGGGAAAAAACCACAAGTTAAATATAAGGTGTTGCAAGATGCAAAGGAAAGAGGAGGATTGGGTCTACTTGATTTGAAATTGTATTTTGCAACTTGCTGTTTGGTTTGCATGAAAGAGTGGGTGCTGCTGAGAAATAGAAGGCTCTTGGTGTTTGAAGGACACAATGTGAGATTTGGGCAGCATGGATATTTGTGGTATGACAAAGTCAAGATTAACGTGGATTTTAAAAATCATTATGCTAGATGTGCCATATTGAGACTATGGAATAGATACAAATCCAGGTTGTGCCCAAAAAAACCTTTCTGGCTCTCAGCACAAGAAGCATTTTATAGACGAGAAATAATAGGCAGACACAACTTATTGTGAGGTACTAGAATTTTGGCAAGGGGAATGTAAAATAAAATCAAGAGAAGAACCAGTGGCAGAGGGATAGAGTTGTCAATGGTTTTCTTATTTAGTTATTAGAAAGATTTAAAGTAGACAAAAGAGTTTATGGTTTTAACATTGTAAGACTGAGTCTGAAATAGAATTGTGTACAAATGATGAACATGTAATTGCTAAAATGTATAAACTTGTATTGAAATTAGAAACAGAAGAAGAACAAGTGAAAGAAATCATGATGAAGTAGGCTAAAAATTTTGGTTATAACATACAGATGGAACAATGGGAAAATAGGTAGTTGAAAGGGCTGAAACTTACACGATCCTATAATCTTAAAGAGAATTTTTATAAATGATGTACCATTGGTATATGTCACCAGAGAAATTGTCTAGAATGTATAAAG